TTATTGCTATGGAAAGTTCTCAGCCTTCCCTGTCGAAAAGGGCTGGTGCTTTTCCAAACCACAGCTCCCATAATTCCATAGCATGAAGCCATGGCAATTAAATTGATCAACCTGGGGGTCGAGACCCCTGGAGGGGTCATGAAGGGATGTCAGAGGGGTTGTGAAAAGGCAGTATTTTCTGTTGCTCATGGGGATTCTGTGTTGGATGTTTGGCCCAATTCTATCATTGGTAGGGTTCAAAATGCTCTTTGCTTGTAGGTGAACTGTAAATCCCAGCAATGACAACTCCCAAAAGTCAAGGTCTATTTTCCCCAAACTCCACCAGTGTCCACATTTGGGTATATTGAGTATTCGTGTGAAGTTTGGTCCAGATCCATGATTGCTTGAATTTACAGTGCTCTCTGGATGTAGGTGAACTACAACTCCCAAACTCAAGGTCAATGCCCACCAAACCCTTCCAGTATTTACTGTTGTTCATGGGAGTTCTGTGTGCCAAGTTTGGTTCAATTCCATCATTGGTGGAGTTCAGAATGCTCTTTGATTGTAGGTGAACTATCAATCCCAGCAATGACAACTCCCAAAAGTCAAGGTCTATTTTCCCCAAACTCCACCAGAGTCCACATTTGGGTATATTGAGTATTCGTGTGAAGTTTGGTCCAGATCCATGATTGGGTTGTTGTAGGCTTTTCCAGGCTATATGGCCATGTTCTAGAGGCATTTTCTCCTGATGTTTCGCCTGCATCTATGGCAAGCATCCTCAGAGGTAGTGAGGTCTGTTGGAAGTAGGAAAATGGGTTTATATATCCATGATTATTTGAATTTACAGTGCTCTCTGGGTGTAGGTGAACTGCAACTCCCAAACTCAAGGTCAATGCCCACCAAACCCTTCCAGTATTTACTGTTGGTCATGGGAGTTCTGTGTACCAAGTTTGGTTCAATTCCATCATTGGTGGAGTTCAGAATGCTCTTTGATGGTAGGTGAACTATAAATCCCAGCAACTACAACTCCCAAATGACACAATAACCCCCCCCCCCCAACACTCCACCAGTATTCGAATTTGGGAGGTAGAACCAAAAATGATGTTACGGTTGGGGGTCACCACAACATGAGGAACTGTATTAAGGGGTTGTGGCATTAGGAAGGTTGAGAAACACTGCGCATTCATTCAACATTGGAGATGCACCTCATGCCACTCAAATGATATCAACCCAATTCACCGGAAATATGGCTGGTGACTTCCACGCGACCAATGATCCCATTCCAGAACATGTAGGACACACTTCACTCATGAGAGCATCCTCAGCCAGTTTGATCTCTTCTACAAATTGCTCCAAAGCACCTAACTATCAATTACCTGATCCATGTGTTGCAATGGTGACGTCTTGCACATGGACTTAATTGTGATATATTGCTTAGGCGTGGCAAGTCCATTGCCAGAAGATGCTGAGATGATTCATTTGCACACTGCAGTCGACATATTTCCAAATCTTAAGCCAGTGGTTGGAGTGTTTAACTGGGATTCTGGGGTGCCAAGATTCCCATATGTGCCTAGACATTGGAAAACCATTGGTCAAGTCGCACCATCTTACGACACTGGAATACATCTTACCCATGGGTTCATCTTAGGGGTACCATTAGTCAGAGAAGTCTTGAAGCACACAAGGACAACATACTCGAAAGATGATTGGTGGAGGGAAGATCCATCACAATAACAGGTGCAAAAATTAGATAAATTATGCAAACATATGGAAATGTATGCAATAAATCCAAACAAACTTCTATGCAGGAAAAAAACGGAAAGGGGTACTGCTCTGTTATCCGGGCGGAGGCCACAAGGGGGTGCTAGAGAGAGAAGGATAGTCCATTTTACGAAGGTGGAGGATGGGTTGAAGGAGGAAAACTGTTTTCCTCTGGTTTCCTGTTATTTATGTATGTATTTATTTACAACATTTCTACCCCGCCCTTCTCAACCCCCAATTCGATGACACAATACCACAATAAAACACAATATAAAACCATAAAAACACAATAGATTAAAAACAATAATTCCTTATCACAACAATCATATGGTCCAGTTCAGTGTCCAAAGTTGTGCCTGCTAGCCAAAAGCCTGGTTCCAAAACCACAATTTCAGTTTTTTCCTAAAGGAAAGGAGGAAGGACGCCAATCTAATCTCGCTGGGGAGCGAATTCCACAAGTGGGGGGTCACCATCAAGAAGGCCCTGTTCCTCGTCCCGACCAGATGCGTTTGCGAGGCCAGTGGGACTGAGAGCAGGGCCTCCCCGGTGGATCTTAACGTAAAGGGAGATACATTTGGACAAGTAAGCTGCCCCCCATGGCCCCTTCATGGAAACAATCCCCGTTTGTGATATGGGAAGTGGAGAGGAGGAATAACCAGCAAAAATGGGGGAAATTGTTTTCCTCCTTCAAGTCCCCCCCCCCCCATAAAATGGACTATCCATCTCTCTCTAGCACCCCCTTCTGGCCTCCTCCTAGAACAGTACCCAGAAAGGCTTACAACCTTGAACTGTGTACAGAGAAGAATGTATTTCATAGGCTTGGTTGATCCAGCTCGTTAATTTCTAATCTCGTTATGAAATCGTAAATAAAATACCTTTAGAAGCGATATCGACACGTTTTGGCAACCCGGAAGTGTTTTTGCCATATCGAAGCCATGTCCGCCATCTTCCTTACGACTTCCGCCAGTGAATCGTAAATGCTGGGGGCGTGGCCTTCAGGAACAGCTGTTCTTACCCACGCCCACCTCCTTCCTCTTTGCATCGGCGGCTTTSCGAGGTGGGCTTTGTGAGGTGGGCGTGGCTACCTCCCTGGCGACAAGCGGRGATGKGGAAGAGCTGGACATAGCCATGCCCACCWCGCAAAGCCCACCTCGCAAAGSRGCCGATGCAAAGAGGAAGGAGGTGGGRGTGGSRAAGKACAGCRKTRCRTGGAGGCCTCACCCCCAGCAATCTCCGAGGAGTGCTGTGCTTGGCCACGCCCACCTCTCCCTTCTGCATGACGGACAGCTTGCCAGGAAGGGAAGGAAAGGTGAGAGATTTTTAAAGTGCCAGTTTTAAAATCCCTCACCTTTCTTTCCCTTCCCTGGCAAGCTGTCAGTCATGCAGAAGGGAGAGGTGGGTGTGGCCAAGCACAGCGACCTCCTCGGAGGTCTCTGGGGGCAAGGCCTCCGAGGAGGGCTGTGCTTGGCRACGCCCASCTCTCCCTTCTGCATGGAAGCTCYCMGCAAGGGAAGMAAGGGAAACTGTGAGATTTTAATGGTTCTGMAGYGAYYGAYGGGCACCTTCCATTAACGAAACAAAGGAAGCGATTCGTATTTCCTGGTATTTCCAATCTTTTTTTAAAGAAAATTTTGGAAATAATTTCAAAATCGAACCGCCAACGCCCCCTATATACAAAACGAGTTTAGAACCATTTTTTTCCCTGATCAACCAAGCCTAGTATTTAACGTTAACTTCCTGTTGATTGAAGCCACTGAGTTTGCTGGGACTGCGTCTACACTGTAGAATGAATGTGCTTTGATGCCACTTTAACTACCATTGCTCAATGCTATGTAACTCTGGGAGTTGTAGCTTTGCAAGATCCTTAAACTTATCTGCCAAAGAGTGTTGCTGCCTCACCAAACTGCATTGCGTTTACACTGTCATCTAAACAAATTTTCTGCAGAGTCCCAAAATACAAGGGAAAAAATGAAGAAACCCTCATATAGTATGTCACATGCTTTGAGAAGCTCTTTCTTCTCAAGGATTAGAAAATTCGCAGAAATTATTTTCATAGGATATATATATATATATATATATATATATATATATATATATATATATATATATATATATTTGAGTTGCATTGTTGTTTCTGAGCTTGATTTTTTTTATTTGTCATTATATTGACCCACCTTGAAAATCATTTTTCAAGGTCTTATCTTCAGGTGTTGGGCTTCCACATCCAGTATCTTGAAGCATGACCCCTGGATTAGAGTTGAACTCCAAAAACATTTCAAGGAACCCTGGATCAGAGTTGGACTCCCATAAACATCTGGAGGAACCCTGGATTAGAGCTGGACCCCAAAAACATCTGGAGGAACCCTGGATTAGAGTTGAACTCCAAAAACATTTCAAGGAACCCTGGATCAGAGTTGGACTCCCAAAAACATCTGGAGGAACCCTGGATTAGAGTTGAACTCCCAAAAACATCTGGAAGAACCCTGGATCAGAGTTGGACTCCCAAAAAACATCTGGAGGAACCCTGGATTAGAGCTGGACCCCAAAAACATCTTGAGGAACCCTGGATTAGAGTTGGACTCCAAAAACACCTGAACAAACCCTGGATAAAAGTTGGACTCCCAAAAACATCTGGAGGAACCATGGATTAGAGTTGGACTCCCAAAAACATCTGGAGGACCCCTGGATCAGAGTTGGACTCCCAAAAACATCTAGAGGAAACCTGGATTAGAGTTGGACCCCCAAAACATCTGAAGGAACCCTGGACTAGAGTTAGACTCCCAAAAACATCTGAAGGAACCTTAGATCAGAGTTGGACTTCAAAAACATCTGAAGGAACCCAATTGAAGGCAGCTGACTTGGAGAACATCTGATGATACATTGATTGGAGATCAAAGAGAAGCACCAAGCTCCATTAATTGGAATTCTGATCTACTGTCGGTCCATCTCAGCTGGAATTGATCATGTCTTTGTCACTCTGCATCACAAATTGATTTAGATATGAGCTCAGCATAGTTTTGGATGCTGTGGATGAGATGGAGTTGAGATAGAAGACATCTCTAACTCATCATGGTTCCTATCCAATCATTTGCCACCAGTGTCACTCGGCATCCTCACTAAAGGCTTTGATCTTTCGAGGAACAGCATGACTTCTCATCTACATCACCAAGTCATTGTAAATGCTAATTGGAGGTGTCTCAATCCATTGAACCGTGGTTACATAACGTCTCAGGAATCAGCTCTCCTAAGGATGCTGCACCATGGATGGAGGCATGGGAACCCTGACCCACCATTCTCAAGCTTTGGTATCATCTGAGGAAGAGGAGGAGCCAACTGAGACCTTATAAGAAGAGTCCCTCTCCTCAAAGCCTTTCATCCACTGGTTCTAACCTCCCCTCAGGTATCTTCTCAACAAGGTAAGCCAGCTTCTATAGACCCTCATATCTAAGTTTAGTATCTATCTTTTTGATTAAATTTGCTAATAAATTTATTTTTATTGCATATGTCAATTGTTCATTAGGAGGAGGACCAGAAGTGTTCTTCCCAACTTTGCACAATATCTGTATCCATTGACTGCAAACATTTCTTTATGGCTTGGGACAATGTAATGGGTAGTAGTCAATACTACTCATGGAGAAGGTTGGTCCAAAGGCCACTACCCTACATAGCATTGGGTAGACCATGTGGTTCCACAAACTCAGCACATGATGTGGTGGACCATCATCTTTATGTCTATTGACTGCAACCATTGAACTGCACCAGCCAAAGAGGGATTTGTGCCTCATCAAACTACAACTCCCAGTATTCCACAGCATTGAGTCAGGATACTTACTTACTTACTTAGGCAATTTCTCGTTGTCTGAGTAGGATTGTCCACCAAGATCGTTGTACTGGAGGTGGGTCTGTAGGTGACTGTGGAGCCCAATTCTTGATCTGCATCTTCTCCCGCAGTGAGGGTATTGATTTCCAGGTGGGAGGTGGTCCTGGTCAGGGTTGTCTTGACGTGCCTTCCTCTTGGCACGTTTCTCTCTTTCACCCTTCATTCGTGTCTCTTCGAATTCTACAGCACTGCTGGTCACAGCTGACCTCCAGCTAGAACACTCAAGGGCCAGGGCTTCCCAGTTCTCAGTGTCTAGGTTGGCTTTGAGCCCATCTTTAAATCTCTTTTCCTGCCCACCAACATTCCATTTTCCGTTCTTGAGTTCAGAGTAGAGCAACTGCTTTGGGAAATGGTGGTCAGGCATCTGGACAACGTGGCCAGTCCAGCGGAGTTGATGGTGGAGTACCATCGCTTCAATGCTAGTGGTCTTTTCTTCTTCCAGCATGCTGACATTTGTCCGCTTGTCTTCACAAGAGATTTGCAGGATTTTCCAGAGACAGCGCTGATGGGAATCGTTCCAGGAGTTGCATGTTTAGACCTCTCAGTAGCTTTCAATACCATCGACCATGGTGTCCTTCTGGACCACCTCGCAGGAATGGGACTTGGAGCTACAGTGGTTCCGTTCCTTACTATAGGGTTGGGTTTGCAGGATTTTCCAGAGACAGAGCTGATGGAATCGTTCCAGGAGTTGCATGTGACGTCTGTAGACAGTCCACATCTCACAGGCGTATAGCAGGATTGGGAGGACAATAGCTTTATAAACAAGCACCTTGGTCTCCCTACGGATGTCCTGGTCCTCAAACACTCTCTGCTTCATTCAGAAAAATGCTGCACTCGCAGAGCTCAGGCGATGTTGTATTTCAGTGTCAATGTTGATATCTGTAGACAGTCCACGTTTCGCAGGCGTATAGCAGGGTTGGGAGGACAATAGCTTTATAAACAAGCACCTTGGTCACCCTATGGATGTCCCGGTCCTCAAACACTCTCTGCTTCATTCGGAAAAATGCTACACTCGCAGAGCTCAGGCAGTGTTGTATTTCAGTGGCAATGTTGACTTTTGTGGAGAGGTGGCTGCCAAGGGAGCGAAAATGGTCAACATTTTCCAATGTCACACCATTAAGCTGTATTTCTGGAATTGGAGAGGGATTGGTTGGAGACTGCTGGGAAAGCACTTTGGTTTTCTTGATGTCCAATGACATATATGCTTCTATGAAGGTGTTTAGAGTGGCTTGTAGGTCTTATTCATTCAGCAATGTAGATGTACAACTGAGTCAAAACCATGAGGTTGAGCACCTTCTATCTGGTCATCCTTGCAAATGGGTGAATGCTTCAGAAGCAAGGTATGTTTACCCATTAGGGATACCAAACTGATGGATCAATAGAGAGGAGGAGTTCTATTCTATTTCCATCCGGAGTTTCGGGGTACGGTGTCATCTGTATGCGGATGATGTCCAACTCTGTCACTCCTTTCCACCTGCTACTAAGGAGGCTGTCCAGGTCCTGAACCGGTGCTTGGCCGCTGTGACGGTCTGGATGAGGGCGAACAAATTGAAACTAAATCCAGACAAGACAGAGGTCCTCCTGGTTAGTCGTAAGGCCGAACAGGGCATAGGGTGATAGCCTGTGTTGGATGGGGTCGCACTCCCCCTGAAGACGCAGGTTCGCAGTTTGGGTGTGATCTTGGATTCATCGCTGAGCCTGGAACCCCAGGTTTCAGCGGTGACCAGGGGAGCATTCGCACAGTTAAAACTCATGCGCCAACTGCGCCCGTACCTTGGGAAATCTGACTTGGCCACAATTGTCCATGCTCTGGTTACATCCCGTCTAGACTACTGCAACGCTCTCTACATGGGGTTGCCTTTGAAGACGGCTCGGAAGCTCCAGCTAGTCCAATGCTCGGCAGCCATGATACTAACAGGAGCGGAGCGCAGGGAGCATACAATTCCTTTGCTGCACCAGCTCCACTGGCTACCAATCTGCTACCGGGCTCAGTTCAAAGTGCTGGCGTTGGCCTATAAAGCCCTAAACGGTTCTGCCCCAAGCTACCTATCCGAACGTATCTCTGCCTATGAACCCACCAGGACTCTAAGATCTTCTGGGGAGGCCCTGCTCTTGATCCCGCCTGCATCACAAGCACGGCTGGCGGGGACGAGGGACAGGGCCTTCTCTGTGGTGGCCCCTCGGCTGTGGAACGCCCTTCCCATGGACATTAGATCAGCCCCTTCGCTAATGGTGTTTCGAAGAAAACTAAAAACCTGGCTGTTTGAACAGGCGTTCGGATAAATAGTGCAATGAACACGATGAATATAGGAAACGGAATTATGGATGACGAATTGGATCACGATTTTAGTTACGAGACGTTAATGTGTTGTTATTGAGATGTCATTAGTTTGTATTTTATACTGTTAATGGTTTTAATATTGTATGTTGTTGGACTGACTTTTGCTCTTGTTGTGAACCGCGTTGAGTCGCCTACGGGCTGAGAAACTGCGGTATACAAGCAAAGCAAATAAATAAATAAATAAATATATGCTTCTGTGAAGGTGTTTAGAGTGGCTTGTAGGTCTTATTAATTCAGCAATGTAGATGTACAACTGAGTCAAAACCATGAGGTTGAGCACCTTCTATCTGGTCATCCTTGCAAATGGGTGAATGCTTCAGAACCAAGGTATGTTTACCCATTAGGGATACCAAACTGATGGATCAATAGAGAGGAGGAGTTCTATTCTATTTCCATTCTTACATTGTTGGCGTGCTTTTGCTCCCCTCTCTTTCAGAGTCGGCCGCCATGTGTGAAAGAAGGATTTACGCAGCCGGGAGAGAGCCCTACTTCAACCTGAACTCAACCTGGTACGGCCCTGCCGGATCCTGGTTGGACACTCGTCGTAAGCCCTTCCATTATGCCGACAATACTTCCTGTGTGCCCTGCTGTAACAAGAACAACAATTGTGACATCCCACGAAGAGGAGGTCACAACTACCGGTGCTACGGCTACCGCCAGTCCACATGTACCCCCGAATGTAACCCAAGACTCCCGTGTGGGTTTCGAAACCCATCAGGGGGACCCCGTGATTACTGGGGGCGACCCATCGGCGATTCCTGTGACGGACGGACCGGGGGACACTACAGCAACGAGGAGTCGGTCAATGGATCATGCTGTGGAGCATCAGGAGGATGTGGCAGTGGAGGTAAGGCATGTGCCCAACCATCTTCTTCAATTGGAGGATGTGGCGGTGGAGTATGCTCTGAACCAGGGTGTCAGTCTGGAAGATGCGGAGGACGTAGAAGAGGATTGTGCTCCGAGCCAGGTTGTGGCCTCTTTGGACGAAGACGATCGGTTTGTTCCGAAACTTGGAGCAGATCTTCCAGAGGATGCCAACCCTGTGGGACAGGAGGATGTCCTGGACCGCAGACCTCATTTTCCGGTGGATGTGGAGGAAGAGGATTATGCTCCGAACCAGGTTGTGGCATCGCAAGAAGAAGACAATCTGTGTGTTCCGAAACTTGGAGCAGATCTTCCAGAGGATGTCAACCCTGTGGGAGAGGAGCATGTGCTGGGCCACAGAGTTCGGTTTCAGGAGGATGCAGAGGAAGAGGAGTCTGCTCCGAACCCTAAACAAGGCCTTCAATAATATGGTGAAGAAGACTACTCCATTCCAAGCCATTGATCAATTCTGGATTGCGCCATCTCTGTACGACAAACAACACCTTTATAGTCTTGTCGAAGGCTTTCATGGCTGGAATCACTAGGTTCTTGTGGGTTTTTCCGGGCTATATGGCCATGTTCTAGAGGCATTTCTCCTGACGTTTCGCCTGCATCTATGGCAAGCATCCTCAGAGGTAGTGAGGTCTGTTGGAACTAGGAAAACTGGGTTTATATATCTGTGGAACGACCAAGGTAGGACAAAGGACTTTTGTCTGCTGGAGCTAGGTGTGAATGTTTCAACTGACCATCTTGATTCATTCACACCTTGAAACAGTCACATCATTCATGTCTTGAAACATTCACACCTAGCTCCAGCAGACAAAAGTCCTTTGTCCCATCCTCACTACCTCTGAGGATGATTGCCATAGGTGTGAATGTTTCAACTGACCACCTTCATTAGCATTTGAAGGCCTGGCTGAGCCTGGGAAAATCTTTTGTTGAGAGGTGTTAAGATGTGCCTGGTTGTTTCCTCTCAGCCTGGACACAGCAGATTATTTGAGAACACAGAAATGCTGACCACACCAACAACCACCATGTCAGACTACACAGAGAAGCCATTGAAATCCACAAGCATGTGGACAATTTCAACAGAAAGGAAGAGACCATGAAAATGAACAAAATCTGGCTACCAGTATTAAAAAACTCTAAAATTCAAACTGCAAAACAGCAGAGAGGAAACAACCAGGCACATCTTAACACTTCTCAACAGAAGATTTTCCCAGGCTCAGCCAGGCCTTCAAATGCTAATTAAGGTGGTCAGTTGAAACATTCACACCCAGCTCCAGCAGAGAAGAGCTCCTTGCCCCACCCCAGCCATTCTACAGATATATAAACCCATTTTCCTAATCCAACAGACCTCACTACCTCTGAGGATGCTTGCCATAGATGCAGGCGAAACGTCAGGAGAATGCCTCTAGAACATGGCCCTATAGCCCGAAAAAACCCACAAGAACCTAGTCCTTTATAGTCATCTAGTGCATGTCTTCCTCATTCAGGAAGGTTGGAAGGTGCTCCATACGAGTTAAAATTTGACCCTATTTATTTGAATATTTATTATTTATTAGCTGTCCCCTGCCACACATTGCTATGGGTCATGGGGTTCATGTGGGGGAAGTTTGGCTCAATTCTATCATTGGTGGGGTTCAGAATGCTCTTTTGATTGTAGGTGAACTATAATCCCAGCAACTACAACTCCCAAATGTCAAGATTCTATTTTCCCAAACTCCACCAGTGTTCACATTTGGGCATGTTGAGTATTCGTGTAGAGTTTGGTCAGATCCATCATTGTTTGAGTTCACAGTGATCTCTGGATGTAGGTGAACTACAACTCCAAAACCAAAGGACACTGCCCACCAAACCCTTCCAGTATTTTCTGTTGGTCATGGGAGAACTGTGTGCCAAGTTTGGTTCAACTCCATCGTCGGTGGAGTTCAGAGTGCTCTTTGATTGTAGGTGAAATATAAATCCCAGCAACTACAACTCCCAAATGACAAAATCAATTTTTTTTTAGTGAAGGACGTACATTGAGCTGTTGGGTGTCTTGTGTCCAAATTTGGTGTCAATTCATCCAGTGTTTTTTGATTTCTGTTAATCCCACAAACGAATATTACATTTTTATTTATATAGATATACCACTTTGCATATCTATGCATAAACATAGAATCCCTAAATGGTTTGCAATTGAAATAACCAAAAAATGGTATAAAATCGATTAGAAAATCATTGTTTCTCCTGGTCCATAAGTGTTGATACCCTAATAATTCAGATTTAATGGCAAAAAGAAGACAATTTCAACTCAACGCTCACCAGTCTTTGAAGGCAACTGAAGGCTGAGCCAACCTAAGACGTGTGTCCAAATCTGAACCAACTTTAATGCTTCAGTGTTGATTCTATAAGTTATCTCAAGTTTTTCCCACTTTTTGTGAGTGTGCAACAATAAAATTCTACTGTTCCACCGAAAGAGTTTGCTTTTTGAAAGCTTGTCCTCCTCTTTCAATTTGTTATGTGGATAGTGTCATAATACAGTATGGACACTAGGTGGCACTTGACTTATTTCTATCTGTGCTGAATGACTTTCAACACTTAAAAAAGCAATTTTTTTCATCTCAGGAGTGACTTGAGAAACTTCAATTTGCTTCTGGTGTGAGAAAATTGGCCATCTACAAGGACATCTCCTTTCTTGTGGCTTCAAACTACAAGAAAGGAGCTTCCATCTGAACATGAGGAAGAACTTCCTAACTGTGAGAGCTGTTCAGCAGTGGAACTCTCCGCCCCGGAGTGTGGTGGAGGCTCCTTCTTTGGAAGCTTTGAAACAGAGGCTGGATGGCCATCTGTCAGGGGTGATTTGAATGCAATATTCCTGCTTCTTGGCAGAATGGGGTTGGACTGGATGGCCCAGGAGGTCTCTTCCAACTCTAGGATTCTATGATTCTATGACATTGCCCAGGGGATGCCTGGATGTTTTACCATCCTGTGGGAGGCTTCTCTCATGTCCTTACATGACGAGCTGGAGTTGACCATAGGAGCTCACCCTGCTCCCAGGATTTGAATATTATTTGATTTTACTATTTTTGGGGTCCAACTTACAACAAATAATAAAACCTATTATTATTGAATCTGATAAGATTGACAAACATTTTTAAATTCCCCAAAAATCAGTAGACGTGCAAATCTTTCTGAAACTTGTGGAGAAAGATACCCTGGTTATGTTACGTCATTGTGGAGAAATTCAAGAAAATAGTTCTTGTTTTTTTTAATATTGTTTGTAAAAAAATTAAAATTCCAAAAATTAGTGGATGAGTGAAATGTTCAGAAACTTGGGGGTTACTAAGAATTTGCTAAAAATTCATGTGCTGGAAATCGTAAGAAAATGGGAATTTCTGTAAGTTGGAAGCCATATTTGAAGCGTTTGCATGGTCCACACCAAATATTTTAGAATCAAAACTTACCCCGTAAAATTCCCCAAAAATCAGTAGACATGCAAATGTTTCTGAAACTTGGGGCCCCCCGATGATGCCCTGGTTATGTTACGCCATTGTGGAGAAATTCAAGAAAATAGTTCTCATTTTTTTTAAAAAATGTTTGTAAATAAATTAAAATTCCAAAAATTAATGGATGAGTGAAATGTTCTGAAACTTGGGGACTTACTAGGAATGTGCTAAAACAATTCAGAAGTGTCGGAAATCGTAAGAAAATCGGAAGTTCTGTAAGTTGGAAGCCATATTCGAAGCGTTTGCGTGGTACACACCAAATATTTTAGAATCAAAATTTATCCCGTAAAATTCCCAAAAATCAGTAGACATGCAAATGTTTCTGAAACTTGGGGGGGAATGATGCCCTGGTTATGTTACGTCATTGTGAAGAAATTCAAGAAGATAATTCTTCTCTCTTTTTTTAATACTGCTTATAAAATAAATTAAAATTCCAAAAATTAGTGGATGAGTGAAATATTCGGAAGCTTGGGGGCTTACTAGGAATGTGCGAAAAAATTCAGAAGTGTCAGAAATCATATGAAAATCGGAAGTTCTCTAAGTTGGAAGCCATATTTGAAGCGTGTGCATGGTCCACACCAAATATTTTAGAATCAAAACTTACCCTGTAAAATTCCCCATAAATCAGTAGACATGCAAATCTTTCTGAAACTTGAGGGGAATGATGCCCTGGTTATGCTACGTCATTGTGGAGACATTCAAGAAGATAATTCTCATTTTAAAAAATTGTTTGTAAATAAATTAAAATTCCAAAAAATAGTGGATGAGTGAAATGTTCAGAAACTTGGGGGCTTACTAGGAATGTGCAAAAAATTCAGAAGTGTCAAAAATCGTAAGAAAATGGGAAGTTCTGTAAGTTGGAAGCCATATTCGAAGCGTTTGCGTGGCCCACACCAAATATTTTAGAATCAAAACTTACCCCGTAAAATTCCCCAAAAATCAGTAGACATGCAAATCTTTCTGAAACTTGGGGGGAATGATGCCCTGGTTATGTTACGTCATTGTGAAAAAATTCAAGAAGATAGTTCTTCTCGTTTTTCTTAATATTGTTTGTAAAAAAAATTAAGATTCCAAAAATTAGTGGATGACTGAAATGTTCAGAAACTTGGGGGCTTACTACGAATGTGCTAAAAATTCAGAAGTGTCAGAAATTGTAAGAAAATCAGAAGTTCTGTAAGTCGGAAGCCATATTCGAAGCGTTTGCATGGCCCACACCAAATATTTTAGAATCAAAACTTACCCCGTAAAATTCCCCAAAAATCAGTAGACATGCAAATCTTTCTGAACTTGGGGGGGAATGATGCCCTGGTTATGTTACGTCATTGTGGAGAAATTCAAGAAGATAGTTCTTCTTGGGTTTTTGTTTGTAAATAAATTAAAATTCCAAAAAATAGTGGACGAGTGAAATGTTCAGAAACTTGGGGGCTTTACTAGGAATTTGCTAAAAATTCAGAAGTGTTGAAAATCGTAAAAAAAATCAGAAGTTCTGTAAGTAGGAAGCCATATTTGAAGCGTTTGCGTGGCCCACACCAAATATTTTAGAATCAAAACTTACCCTGTACTTTTTTCATTTTCGTTTTATAAATCTCCTTAGTCTCATTATAATAATGAAATTTTCACTAAGTATACTTTAGAAACGTTCTTTATAAAAACTTTGAAAATTCACCAAAAATTTGCAGATAAGTGAAATGTTCTGAAATTTGGTGGGCTAACAGTAGGAAGTGGTTTCTATCATTGTAGCAAGTTTTACCCCAATCACTTTAAAAATGAGAGAGGTAGGAGCCCCTGAAGTTTCCACCATGAACAATTACTGTAATGAAATAGTAACGAATTTCATTACTCTCTTTATAGTAATGAATTTTCACTTTAGAAATGAAGCACCAGCACACTCCCCCCCCCCAAAGTTTGGTAATGACTTTTGAATCTTTTTGTATGGATCACACATCCTGTCACAATGCCAGGGCTCTGCCTTATTCAGGT